GTAAGATAGGAAGGTGTTGCCCAGCTACAACTGTGGATCTGGAGTGCTTCGTGTGTGGCTGTGAATGATGAGGAGCTCGGATAGGCCGGCTACCGTATAGAAAAAGAAGATATTGGCCAGCCGTGAAGAGCTGGTTTTGAGAAAGAAAAAGGGAAAACCCAAAAGTGGATTAAGAATTAGGCATATGATGGGGGTATACGCCAGGTAAACCCAAAGGAGTCAAGGGGAAGGTTGGGGAAATAATTTGAGAACCGGCAGAGTCACAGACTAGAAGGTGTCGTACAGGTGGCCGCCCTTGTGATTATATGAAGTTGACCGAGACAAAGGAAACCCGGTGAAAGCCCGTCAAAAGAAACTCGATCTTCACAAAGACCATTGTAAGCGGCCGGCCACCACTTGGAGCCCCGAGTATCTTATACGGCGTCGGTCCTCAGATGTTGACAAATTCATGACCGGAAAACCGGAACTGAGATTCCCTTGATGCCGGTCCAGACCGTTGAAAGACGGTTGACCCTAGAAGAGTTTTCAACTTGCGCGGCGGGGTTTGGTCTCAAATCGCAGAACCGAAAACCATCGAGTGGATGAGATGTTGTAAGGACGCTTTTTCTGGCTCACCTTAGGAAAGGTTATTTAGTGGGGCAGTGCCCTGGTCTGGGCGGAGAGATGAGGCGCGCGGCAGGTCCAGTAGCGCCGACCAACTGAGAATCAAGCGGTTCTTGTTTCGATCCTGGCCAGGCAAAGCCCTTCTTTGAATGGTCAAGGGTTGTTGATGACGTTTCCTCGGGAAAAGAATGCCCTTTGTATGGCAGTGGGAGTAAGAGAGGTATGCAAAGATAGAAACGAGACGGGAAGATCGGAAGAGAACAAAGATGGGGATGAAAGTGTTGGGGGAACCTGCAGGCTTTTAGAACCCAAAAGACAGCATGATGCAAGTCGGGCATTGCCTCCGGGGGCAATTACTCGTCAGTGCTATTCCTCGAGGAAGGCAGGAACATCACGGCTACACGGCCCCTGCGGGTCTTTGGGACACTCTCGGCGGTGGATTTCAGATCCGGAATGAGGGGCTATTGGCTGGCGATATGCCCTGCAGTTCCCAAGTTCGCAGCTTGCATCACGCAGCACCGAAGTGCTGGCTGACATTCCACATCGCTTGATGATCGGCACACATGGTCTGGGCTTGGCCCATCCATCTTGTTCTCTCCTCGGGTGACATGTCTTGTAGTGCACAAGTTTCCGGGGCTCCCCACAAACAATTCCATGACTGTGAGCTGTGATCTCGTGATGTCGACCCCCAAACCTCAAAATCAGACCGTTTGAGGCCAGTGTCATCGTCCAGGGCTCCAACGGGAAGGCCACCAAGACCAACCGGCCACAGTGGCCCGTCTGCGCCGCTAGGCCCCCCATAACGGCTAATATCCCAGGCCGAGGGAGGACACAGATAGATCTTGTCAATCGCACGTCACACAAGACTCACCCTGCGGGCCGTGACCGTGGACATGACCGGGAGCAAGCACTGGAATTGACGGCCGAGCAGGAGCCCACCTCGTCGCGGGGGCACCGATATCTCACCGCTAAAAAGAATAAATACTTACCCGAGCCTGCCAGCCGTGAATGCCTTCGGAAATCCAATGAACATCCAGTTCAGCTGAGACTAACAGCTGCATGTCTCACCATTGGAGCTTTCGAGCAAGCTGGTCATTCGGTCCTTCTCCACCTTGCTCCGCATCGGTCTAGGTAATGGTTCGGGGCGCCAGGACGACGAGATCGGATGCGGCAGACCTAATAAATTCGGCATCAAGCTAGCTGCTCATTGGTATTTTTATGCCCCTCAGACGTGGTGGTGTAGTGGGATATCGCCTTTTGGTGTTGATCTATCCTGTCAGTTGGCCGGGGAGGATGCGGCCGGGTTAGGGGACTTGCATCGACGAAGCTCCGTCTTACAGGCAGTAGCTAGCTGAAAAGAGCCAAGCGGCGATCGGATCGATGACGAAGAAACAAGCAGATTCCATGGCAGAGTGTGTTTCGAAGTGATAATAATGGTGTCGGTTTGCTGTCGTATCGTCCTTCGTGGTGTTGTCAAGCACTGATAGCCTCCTTCGATATGGTAATCCAATTGCTTTGGAAATTGGTGATATAAGGAGTTCTTATGCTTCGCAGATTAGGCCGTCGGTTGTCGTGCTAGGTCCAGGCATCATAGAGCCCAAACATGAAAAAGATGCTTATCAGTTTTATGAAGCTGTAGTTGATGCTGGTGAGCAATCAACTGAGATTCAAATGCCAATTCAGGGTTCTTGCTGGAGGACAGCAGCCAGCTGCCAACCCTTGTCCTTGCCAGCCGCAATTGGGTTCTGGGACTGGCCCCCACCAGCTTCCCCCTGACAGCTGAGCACAGACCACCCGCGGCTTGCTCCGGGGCGCGCAACGCTAAACTTGAGGCGATGTGGCACATCGGCTGCTGCCAGCTCTCCAATTTACTGTCTGCGGCCACGCGACGACACATCCAACTTGCTCTTCGACGAAATTCTAAAACGACTTTGTGTTTTTGCCAACTTTCAATTCATCCACCCTGCACATCGCCAACGATACTTCCTTTTTTAATTAATTCACCGCCACACATCTTTTCACAATGTCCGACCAGGTTCAGGAGATCCTCGACGTCCCCCGCGAGTTCCTCAAGGACGGCGTCCAGTTCATCAACAGGGCCCAGAAGCGTGCGTTTCTTCGACGACAAGTCTAACATTGCGACAAAAGTATACTGACTACGATTGCAGCCGATCGCAGGGAATTCATCAAGATTTCCCAGGCCGTTGGTGTCGGTTTCCTCAGTAAGCAATCCTCTTTGAGATCCTGATTTTCGAGAGGACACATGCTAACTTTCTTGCAACAGTCATGGGTGCCGTTGGGTACTTCGTCAAGCTCAGTAGGATATCTCTTTTCCCCAATTGCGACATCGAACTCGCGAACTAACCTTTTAGTCCACGTTCCCCTCAACAACATCCTCGTCGGCGGCGCATAAGCGGCTACTTTGTGATTGGTGTGTAGGATGATTTAGACGAAGAAAAAGCAAAAAATCCATCAGCGACTTCTTTTATTTTGGGATCGCACGAACAATGCACAACGGGGGGCTCTCTGGGAAACTGCCAAAAGCATGATGCGCGCAGGGGAAACATTGGGCGACGGTTTCGGACTGGGTATGAAGAACGAGGGAAAGGGCGCAAAGATGATATCCATATTCAGGTGTTTGGTAAAACGGGAGGCAGGGTAAATCAATAACCTGGTCACATAATTCTATTGCCTTTCAGGTCTATTCTAACTAGGGAGAGGGCAATTGTACAAAAACAAATTTGTTTGGCGGATCTATATCTCCTTTCCCTGCATTCTCTCTACTGATTTTTGACAAACGACATGACAGCATATCGGAAACTTCCATTCGCATACCCCCTTCTCATGGCTCGGAAGGCCTGCAGAAACGCAATGCCATCCCGACCTTGGCTGAAGGCAAAAGCCCAGAGCGAAGGGTTCTGGACCAACGACCACGAGATATCCCTATCTACAGTTAGCATATCTTGGTCGGCACGAAACGGAGCAATCGACATAACCTACCAAGTCTTGCTGACATCCTGGCTGATATCCTTCGGACCACCCAATAGGTTGAGTCCAGCGGCTTCCGCGAACTGAACATAACCCTTTTGCGTACACATTGGCGGCAACAACATACCATCTGCGCCCAGCCCGTTAGTTCACGTCTCGCAAATGCTCCTGAAGAAGGAAACCTACCCTCAATAGGCTTAATATCAGCCTCAAACTCCTTCTCACCCAATCCCTCATCCTTGAACCAATCAGCCAGCACGACCTTGCCGCCAGCTTTCAACACCTTCTCCGCATTCCGGAAGAAAAGCGCCTTATCAGGAAAATGGCTCAGGGCCTCACTGATCCACACGACATCAAACTTCTCTTGAGAAGCAAAATACTCCCCCATCTTCTCAGCGTCCAGCTCGATGAAGCGGACTTCCCCTTTGCCATGAGGAATGAAATCACCCGCCACGTCAGAAGAGGAGGAAGAAAGTCTGCGTGCGATTTCTACTTGCTTGGTGGAGATGGTGATGCCCGTGACGCTGCATCCTAGCTCTGAGGCCAGGTAGCGTGAGGTTCCGCCTACGCCGCAGCCTACGTCTAGGACTCGTAGGGGAGAGGAGGGGGGTGAGTGGGGGAGGGAAGATATGGAGAGGAGGAGGTGGATTAGGTTTAGTTGGGCTGTTTCTTTGCTTTCTTGGGATTTGGATTCGGGTGTCGGCCAGTAGCCGTGGTGGATGTGCTCGCCCCTTGAGGTTTGTTAGTAAATAGTAGGGATTTGAAGGGGGCAGGAAAGGGAGGGATGTACCAAAGGCTGAGGTAGTAATCGCTTGCTAGGTCATAATGAAGCTTGATGCGGTCTTTGAGAGCCTGCATCGTTGTGTGAGCGAGTCCGAGAGGAGTATCATATTGGGTGCTGAGGTCGGTTGTTATATCATCTTTGGTGGTAGTTGTTGCTCCCATCTTGAATCTTTTGTGTAAGTGGACTGGGTGAGTGGTTTGCTGGGCGGCTTTCTGGTTGGCTGGAGGACTGGGATCACAGCATGTACACAAACGGAGATGATGTACGGGAGATCAGACGGGAAGAGAATTGAGTTTCAATTTGCTGCCATAAGTTTACTGGGAATGACGTGGTCGATTCCCAAATAAGTCAGATTGATCTTTGGGTCCTGCATTGCCTTGCTGCTGCAAGGGAGAGAGGGGTGAGCGGGGCTGTCATCATTGACCCGCATTGGATAGGTGCCATGAAAATGAATGTCTCGAGAAGCCGCAAATAGAGGAATGAGAAGAGGAAACAATTGCTTTGTGCTGGTTTGAACATGTGAAAATAAGAGGAAACGATCGACAATTGCGAATTGAAGCCAAAGAAAAGAAAATATCATCGAACATGATTAAAAGAGCACGATGCCGAAAATTGCAAAAGGATATGACTGAAGCGCGATTCGAACGCGCGCCTCTTGCGAGAGTAGAATGCTCCTCAGATTTCTCTGAGGAAGACTTTGAGTCTTGAGTCTACCGCCTTAGACCACTCGGCCATCCAGCCAGATGTTGTTTGTTGGAGAACACATCAGGAAACAGACTTAATCTTCACATTGGTACGGTCTTGAACCAGAAAGAAAGGGGGCAATTGTTGGCGGGAAACCAAGAGCTTTCCCGACTAAACGTAGAATTATGAGACATTAGGAGTGACCCAAGACTCTTCCCGGCCGAGTCGTGGACCAAGCCCGAGGTCGTGGGGATGGCACGTAAAAGTGCCCGAATCGGAAAAACACCTCGAACCAATCTCATGTCTGTCCGCATTGTTGGATTCTGCATTGCCATTCATTCATAGCCCACTGCTTAATCTTCCTTCGGCAACGTTACAGGCAATAAGCTTCTCTTGCAATCCACTCCGACGCCTGGATATTGGTCTCCAAGCAGCGCCCGAAAAGACCGAAGAACCGGAGGCTCAGCACGGCTGAATGTAAATGCAAGGCGCAAGCAAACAGGTCAGCACGAGGCTGTTAGTTGTTGATCTGATGCTCGCTCCGGAGCCTCGGACTCGCGTGACCACGTTTGTCCTGCTACGCCAAGGTCACCAGGGCTGGGGATCTCTCATATGTATGTATCGAGTTGATACAGCACAGGCTTTCCATGGAAACTCCACGAGGATCGTTGAAGGACCTTTCTTTGGGCTGCCAGTGTGAGAGAGGGGATGAAATTGTTTGAGATGTGTGATCTCATTTGACGGGGTTAGTCGTCTTCAAGTTGGTCTCACAACTCAAGCAACCACCACTGGCTCTCAAAACGAGAGTAGGTTAGAGATCTCTCGAGCCTCTCACAGGTTGCAGATAAGCAGAGGAACCGACCCTAGCATGTTTCCGAGAATGAAGATCTTGAAAGCGAATATCGCACTGGGGAGTAAGCACGTAAATAGCAAAGGATGCGGGATCTGAGCCCCGTTGATTTGTTGGCAAATTACAGGTCTCTTCAGCATTCCGAGTTTATCCTACACCCATCGGCTATTGTTGTTACTGGGCAAGCACTGCAAGACGACCCGCGATGGATCATGGCAATGCCCCTATTTTCAGCATCGACAAGATTTTGGGCAGTAGCTTCGCCTGCTCGTCTAGTTCGCACTCGACGTCTATGCTAACTAGCGAAACCACTTCACTCTGGGCAATATGTATGATATAGCGATCAAGTTGTCTATATAAGACTGTATACTCCATCTCATTCAGGTTCATCTCTTCATTCTCATCACCATCATCATCATCATCATTATCACAACAACGCCACAACAGCTTCACAACACCGATCTTCTCAAACACACAATCACCACAACATTCAATACCCCAATACCACTTCCACACAGGGCTTCAATCTCCAAAACAAACAACCATCAAAATGCAATTCACGACCACGACCACCATCCTCTCCCTCTTCCTCACCCTCACCTCCGCCTCTCCCACCCCCAATCCCAACCCCAAACCCGCCTCCTGCATCCCCAGACGCGCCTACCCCCTCTCCCTCCCCAGTCTCAGTCCCGTAGCCAGTATCAACCCCCTCAACCGCCCAGACCTCGGCCTCGAAAACGTCCACAAGCCCGAAATCGCCTTCATCATCTCAGAAGAGTCCCTAGCCACTCACAAGGGACCCTGCGCCCTCACTGCGTCCTTCCCCAAGGACTACGAGATCGTCGACACCTCCGTCGCCGCCGGTGGCCAGCCTTTGCCCCTCAACTTCTTCGCTCTCGACGGTCCTGCCAATGGCAGCTTGGTCGGCACCACCCGTCTTCCCACGTTCTTGCCCAACCAGCGGACCAAGGAGGATGTCAAAGTTGTGATCAACTCCTTTGCCTGCAGGCATTATCAGGCTTTCAGGATCGAGCTTGGTGGTATTGGCGAGGTCGGGTTTGTTAGTGATCGGGTTAATGGGCTTTACCTTGAGTATGGGTGCTAGACAGGTGAATAGGGGGGGTCAGTAAATGGGATCAGGAGTTTTGTTTTTTCGGGGGTTTTTTTTCGTTGGGCTGTGCTTGCTGGTTGCATTTGGGTCTTTTCAGTTTTGCTTTTTCCCTTTCCCTGCTCTTGGGGACTGGATCATAGATGGTACTCTTTAGACATAGAGCTAGATCTCCACCCCTTTTTTGTTCTTAGAAATAAACTTGATGCTTTTATTTAAACCCTTTGGGTTGATTTGATTATCTTCAAAAAACTGATCTGGCGTAAAATAAGGAGGAAACGGGAAACCCAGTAGTCTTCAAACTTGGGTTTCTATGATTGGAGATGATACGTTCCTGAGATGGCCCAAAGTTGAAACCCCGGGATTGACTCTGTTGAGCCGTCCCTCGAGAAGCCCCCATGCTGCTCCAAGACTCGATTCGCTTGACTCTTGATGAGACTTCCTAGGACGTATTGGTAGAGTGAAACTAGAATGTGCTCTGCAATAATGAGAACATGGAGGGAAAATAAGAACATATGCCCCAGATTCTATCTTAAAAAATCGTTGGTCCATGTACCAGAAGCCCAAATCATTTTGCTGAACTGCCGAGATGAGACGACAAGGACAATAATGATTCTCATCAACGAGGCCTCAAATACGAGAAATGAAAATGTCATAATGATATCCATCGAGCTTTGAGATGCCATTCAAGACGAGAAACGTCGCTGTGAGATGAATGTGGCGTCATATGTGGTTTGCCCCGACAGCTGCAGGCTGTCATCAGAGGCTGGCAATGCATGCAGCGAGATTGGTGCAGGTGAGGCGAATCTGAAGATAATGCATGCGCGGGCCGCTTCTGGGTGGTTGGTCGGCTGCCGCTTGGCCGGACCGGACATTGACCCCCGGACAGACAATCAGAGATAAACAAGCGATAACATCATTTGTGGACGACGGCGAATCCAGTGGGCGGTCGTGGCGGTGCAAGCTGCAGTGAGAGCAACACAAACCGAAGCGCAGCCGCCGATCAGGCCGTCCACGGGGTGCAGAGATGCGGGGTACAGATTACGCGCCCCTCAGGATTGGGTCGTGCCATCATGGCGCCGCCCGAACATGTGCTCATTCATTTGGAGGTTGTGGTTGTTTATCCTTCCAAGGTTTCTCAAAATCGATCCGATCTCCGTTTTCAAAGGTGCAACGGCGGCCGCCCCGTTGAAGAAAAAGAGATCAGACCGCTGTCCAGCTGAAGCGGGGTGTCGCGGCCTGCAACTAAAAATGCATGCTAGTGCAGAGTCGAATGTCGTCCGACGTGCCGACACCCATGATCCCCTATCACGGGCAATCCATTTAGGTATATTCCATACAGACTGTGAAACAAGTCATGTCCTGATAAAAGAGCAGCGAGGACAGCGCCGCTCCAACCGTTTAAAGGCTGTCTCAGACACACCCGACATTTAGATTGACGTGGTGTCCTGTTGTTCCGATCTAGAATAGATCAATGAAAGAAAAAGAATTATACAGAAATTTTGTAAACCTTCAAATTTCCTAGTCAGGGGCACTCGCAGACCATCCCGTCTCCACCCGAATATCCGAAAGGATGGACAGGCATTTCCCCCATCAAGCAGTCTGTCACCGAATACCTAAGCTAGAAAAGGCCTGACGGCTGGCAGGCAGGAACGGTCCTTTTTACTTCTCCTAAAGATCAGCGGAAACAAAAACTTGTTTCGCTATTGGGATTTTGGAGAACCAAGTTATACCTGAAGAAGGTTGAATGCAACACTCTGGTCGGCAGTGGTTATTTATTTCATGCCTTGCCAGCATTCACGCCTGGGGTCATTGATGAGGATTTGATTGCTGCAGCCAGTCAGGAGGGCCGGTCGCACCCCCACTATCATCTGCGACCAAGTGTGGATCTTACCCCTTCCCATTAAGTCGCTGGGTCCCATCGCCAGGGGGGCCGCTCACCGTTTTCAAGAAAAAGCATTGGCTCTTCAGAGGACATCTCTGCGTCTGGAACTTTTCTCCTTTTTCCGCAGCCTTCCAATACATCATCTTTGCAGTCGATGCACCGCTCGCTCGTTTTGTTGTTTTGTCGTTGCTGAGAAGAAACTGAAGACACGGCCACGGCCACGGACACGGTCTCACCTCTCCTTCCTTCCACTCGCTACCTCTCGTCTGTTTCTGTCCTGCTGTAACGCTAGACACTGCAGACCGGCCACTCGTACACCCTTTAATTAATTACGTCTTTTTCTGTCGTCTGGGTTTCGAACACGCTGCGCGCGCGCCCTCGCATTCCGCCTCCGCCTTTGCCCTTCTGGAACAGTAACAGCAGTCGTCTTCGTGTCACCACTGTCACCGCTTCATTAAGAACGTGATTTCCTGGGCTTTCTATTTCTTAATTACCCAAACACAACCGGCAGCGCCGTCAACTGCCCAACATGTCGTATGTTTACCCGACTCTCTCACCCTGTTGCTAGCGATCGCTAACCAGAACAAATCCACGATGCAGATTAGGAAATGCTTTCCGCTCTTTCTGGCATACCATGACCAGTTATGACCGACGTGAGCGCAGCCCCTGACCTCGACACACCGCTCTGGCTCTTGTTGCTGACAGTCGCCATAGATTCCGATTTCAATTCACCTCAGAGGACAGGGCGCCACGTCCCACTAAACGGCGGCGGCGGATTGACCTCGATAGCAACTGCCTCGGACTCGCGAACCGATATTCGATCGACCTACCACGATGAATCCGCTCGTCCTTCGTTTAACGGAGTTCTCTCTCCGGGCGTCCCGGTGAGCCCAGGATCCAGCATGCCATATTCACCTGGCCTGCGGTCCGCACGACAAACGACAGGTGATGGCTTCGAGATGCAGAGCCCGACAGGCGAGATCCCAATGCAATCTTTCCAGGACGGCATGCCACCACCCCCATCGGTCGCCAGTTCATGGGCTAGGATAGAGAGATGGGCCGAGGAGCACTACCCAGAGCTCTGGGATCAACTCTGCGAAGGATGCACAAACAACGACCTGAATGATCTTGAGCACCAGCTCGACTGCTCTCTTCCTCAGGACGTTCGCGAGTCTTTGGCCATTCATGACGGCCAGGAGCGCGGTGGTATGCCA